CCCTCTAATCCGCTCTTTCTGGTTAATAAGTCTTTTCCTCCAAATGCCACTCTTCATTAAAAGCAAATTCGTTTAATCAAAAAAAAAAAAAATTTTTTTTAAAGTGAATTCAGCTTGTCCCAGAATGGGTAGACCAGAACCTATCTCACCTAGGGCCCTGTTCCGTCTTGTGGCCACTGTTGTTTACTCCACCACGCATGTTGTTGCCATTGTGTACTAATGGCCTGCATGCAGGTAGAATACGTTATACACCTAAATATGTTAGGTCCTCCGTTTTAGGGTTAGATGAGTGATAGTCACAGCTAGATGTAATTTAGTTTGAGTATGTCATAAGGCCTCCCATAGCCTTCCTCATCTGAAGGTGGGGCTCTTCCCAGGCGAATTCAGACCCACCCTGTGGTGCCTCTGCTCTAATCCCAGCAGGACACATTTGATTTTTTCTATTCTGTTTAACAGCTTTCCATCCACAGAAACAGGGTGATATGTATTTGTGTATAGCATGCTATGGCATACCAGCCATGCCACAGCTATATTTTGTCCATCATGGCCAGGAAGCTTTCTAAACATTTGATCATCCAGGTTTATAGTTACACACTGATCAGTTAGCTAGAAGTCGTATGATACATAGTACAATGGCCCAGTGGAGAGCAGTTCCCAGAAATTCCTTCCCAAATAATATCCTTTGTAGTAGATGTAAACTGAAGAATAGGAGTCTAAAGATATTGGCACATTAATGGAGTTCTACTCATTCATTTATCTTCAGTCTAGTTCATCATCATATTGTATGACCAAAATGTCTCCCAGGGCGATGCCACTCCAGATAGCAGGCTGCTATTCGACCAAATGAGGTTCCAAAAGCAGGGGTGGTCTTGGTAAACGTATAGCTTCACCCTTCTGGGCAGCTGGTACAATTGAGCCAAGAGATACTGCTATTCTTTTGGTCTGAACCTTTCTGGAGTCACCAATGTAATACTAGATTTCCCTCATTGCATAACTCACTTATTTATTCCTCTACCCTAAGCTACTATTTCTCCTTTTCTTCACTTGTCATTTATTTTTACCCAACTTTCCACCTCTGGAAGGGATATTAAGTTAAAGGAAATGCAACAACTTCACATAAAATAACCTCTTCACATTCCAATTTTAACCCAAACTTTCACTTTAATCTCAAACTTTCAACCCTTGTTTACATCTCCTCCCAATCTAACTGTACATCTCATTAGGACTTCACCAACAAGTTTTAGAGTCACAATGCATTGGGATCCCACTTCAGGAAGCCCTAGAAAATTCTATTCTCCTTCAACCCCACCAGCCATTTTACCCACACCTGGGCATATGGCCTTGGGTCCCCAGCCAGGAGTTGAAGAAGATCTTGGCTCCTCAGTCAATTTCCATCTTGATTAATACACCAAACCATTACCCCAGGTATTCCAGGTCAGGTTTCTCATTATCATCCTTGCTTTCCAGCTTTTCAAATTCCTCCACACTGGGTTCAATAAAGCAGATTTGTTTAGGGCCCTTTAACGTTGGGAACCAGCAGGGGCTCCCCCTGGTTCACTCAACCTCCAAAAGTGCTGCATTAAGACTTTTGTTTCAACCCAGCAATGTCTACTTTATTCATCTCATTTCTCAGCATCCATCTAAAGATTTCCACTCTGCTGGGTGGACTACCTTGACTCTTCCATTTGTCTTTCCCCATTTTCTTGTGAATCGTCCTAATTTTTAAAACCCATAAAGGGAAGCTGAGACAACAAAGTTGACAAGGCTTCTCAGACTGTTGCTCAATATTGCAGCAGCAATGTTATGTGGAGTGTCCATGCAAAGGGGACCCCTGATACCAAACCTCTTAATCTCAAATTCGTGTGCCGGATGCGCAGTAAGCCAAACACTGAGACATGGGTGCTTGGAGATGGAGAAAGGTTTCATTCGAATTGGCCAAAACAAGGAGGTGGGAGCCTGGGTTTGCTCGAAACCACCTCCCCAAGAACAGAAAGCAACGGGGTTTTATACATCTAAGGGGCTTGGCAGGAGGAGCTTCGGAGAAACAAAGGGGTCACTCCTGATAAGCCCCTGGGCAATCTGACTTCTGGGCTTCAACAGTGGCTGAGGGCCGACCATCTCATGATTGCAACCTCCCTGAAGGCATTCTCTTTCTTCTGCAGAACTCACAAATCCTCAAGACCAGAGCCACACCTCAAGTTAAACAAGAAAAGAGCAAATTGACAAGATTTATCCATGTCTGTGTTGGGAACAAGGTCAAAAGGCAATCATGTTCTTGCTGAATGTCTACGGTAACTCGCACGTACCCAGCTTCCCCCCTTTTCATCACAGCATTTACTATGCCTCGGGTAGGGGGCATATTCAGCACAGCTTGCATACGCAGCATATCAGCTGTTTCATCTGGGATGTTCCACTTGGCAGGAGTAGGAAGACTTGGACAACCCCCTTCTCAGGATAAACTCACTTTGCATTGGCTTTTACCTAGTCCACCAGGCTAACTGTCCTTTCGGGAACAACCTGCTCTGTGTCTGGATTGTGTATAGCCATCTGTGGTTGTTCAATAGTGAGCTGGGTCCTGTGTTAACCCAAACATGCTCTTTTACTCTGCAGTATCCAAAACCAAAAATACTGCCCTTAAGTTAGTCACTTACAACCCATTTTAGTAAAGGTTCTCCAGGAAGCTGATGATACCAATGCACAAAACAAAACAACTCCTTCACACTACACCCCCTGTTTTCTTTAGTTCCTTGGCTTTGCTCTTCCCCCATCTGGACTACCTTCTTGGTGATCAGAGGTCCTAGAGGTGCTATCTATTGTCTCAGCATAATTCTTCCTTTGGTAGCAGTCCTGAGGCTAGAAGCCATAGATCAGACCAGCAGAAATCTGAGTTTAGCTCATAGTCAGGATCTGCCCAACGCTCCTTGCTTTCATTTTAGCTGTTATGGATAACAATAGCCAAGGGATTATATATACAGCTTATTTGTTATTATTTTATATTTCCTTATGTATTCAGTGAGCTAACTCCCTGGGAACTGGATCTCTAAATTTCACCAGTAACTTTTACCTCTAGTAACTGATCCCAGCACAACTGCAGGTCCATATCATGGGTGACCAGATAGCCATTCAGGAATCAAAGATTCACCAACCCAAGGCCCCTCATCCTTTCTCTTTCCAAACCACGTGTTTCAGTGAGTCAGGATCCTTCTAGGAAATCCCACTTTTGATGTCAACTGCAAAGTTAAGGGCTACAGCCCGCAAGATCACCCGTATTTCTCATATCAACCACAAGTGCAGGGTTTCCCAGATTACCCTCAATTTCGATAAAACTCTTATTCTCTTCGGGTAAGGTTAAATTGTTAATTACACACTACCTAAAAGATATGTAGGCCTTGCAGGGGCCAACACCCAGGTTCATAGCCTCATTCAGTTTAGACCACATCTATACCCAGCTATATGGCCAACCCTGTCACGTACACAGACATTGCCGTATACCACAGACCCTTGGGTCTATTTGAGTTGTTTGTACACAAAGTTCCAGTAAACTGCAGTGCTCTGAGCACTGGGAAGAAAGAATCTGATTAGGATTCTTGCTTTCTTGGGATTAATCTTGAGTTTGTTTGGCAGGACGGTGACATCACTGCCATCATGGCTCTGGGGTAAATCCATCTATGGAGAGAAATTTCCTGATGAGAACTTCATTTCAGCCCTGGCACGTTTTCCATGGTGAATGCTGGACCCAACACAAACATCTCCCAGTTTTCATCTGCACTGCTAAGACAGGCTGGTTGGGTGGCAAGCATGTGGTCTTTGTCAGCGTGAAAAACAGAACAATATTGCCAGAGCTTTGGGCATAGGAATGGCAAGATTAGCAAGAAGCTCACCATCGCTACCTGTGGACAACTCTCATAAATTTGGTGTGTTTTGTCTTAATCAACAAACCATTCCTTCCATCCTGGGGAGAGTAGCCCCACCTCCAGTCTGACCTTATACTCCACTCTCTTGGTATTCTCATTTGCTACAATTGTTTGGTTCCATATTTCCCTTTTCCCCCTCCATGTCTAGCTATACAGAAGAGTAAAAGTTATGACCAAATTTAAAAACCAAATTGCAAAACACCTTAAAAGGGTTTTCCTGCGCTGTGGATTTTCCAATCTTTTCATAGAGATATTACTCACTTCAACCCTTCTTACTGACTCCTGTTGACACAAGCCACGTCAAATGTATTAAAACTAATAAATAAAAATGTCTTGAGAATCTCCAAAAGAGTGTCATGATCTCTAAAATATATTCGATATTAACAAAAACTGATATTTCCTGACTCAGAGAAGTTTCCAAAATCAGATGGGCAAGTGTACAAACCGTTTATAACATTTCATATTTATATGTTATTACATTTGTTAAAATAGATTTGATTTAAAAAAAACAAACTTTGTCTTATTTGACTCTACAGAGGACTTTCTATGGCTGCCTCCTCCACCCACTTTCTCCTTTTCATAGCCCTGATTTCCATTTGATTCTGAGAATCTCGTTCCACCTTCAGCTCCACGAGTGGAGCCTATGACCTGGGTTGAGTGAATCCGTTTATTTCCTCTGTACAATCAGAATGACTCTTAGGACCTTTGCTGGCAACATTGTGGAAACAGTTTTCTGCTGGCCACAACCAAGGTTGTCTGAACCAAAGCCCCCGGAACCGCGAGCAGTCGCCTTGATTCCGTGAGTAGAGCCGGCCTCCAGGTGAGGCTGACGTTACAGAGCACAGGAAACAGCAAAAGGAAGCTAGTGCTTTCATAACTTTATTGAGCAACTGGAACAAGCCTTAACTGAGGCCAATATTTATTCCTGGGCCTTGCAGTTAAATCGACTTAAATTTTCTTTATTGTTGAAGCCACTACTCAAGTGTGATCCATATGTAGGCCAGCAGCATCAGCATCACTTGGGAGCTTGGCAAAAATGCAGAATCGGGAAGCGAGGTCACCTTTAAGGGGCCTGGGAAAAAGTATCTAGCCCAGGTAACTGTACCGTGATGTGGTTCGAGATTCTTCCTGGGATGGCCGTCACGGCCATGTGCTTGATCATCCCTGGGGTGGCCGCTGCGCGCATCCACAGGTTCACTAACGGGGGCAAAGAAGAAAGGATTGCCCATTATTCATATCAGTGGAGTTTGATGGAAAGAGATAGGTGCATCTCTGGAGTTAATCGTTACTATGTGTCAAAGGGTTTGGAGAACGTTGATTAAAGAAGCATTTTCCTGATTGATGAAAAAATAACTCAGTTATGCTCATCTACCCCTGCTACAAGGTTATGCAGTGTATTATGTAGTATCTAATGAAAATAAAACGAAAAAGTAAAATAAAAAATTTTAAAAAGGCAGAATCCGGACCACACTGCTGATCCTCTTGAACAAGAATCTGCATTTGAACAAAATCCCCACGTGCCTCTTCGCACATTGACATTTGAGAACTCACCAAGCCTCTTTGAATCAGCTTTTCCTGTCATTTGCGTCTTGAATCAGACCACCACCACCCCCTGTGCAATAGTCCAGATGAATGTTATTACTCCTCTTTAGTGATAAAGAAACTGGGTTCAGGGAGTTTAAGTGTTAGCCAAAGCTCACACATATTTAGACGTCAGGAGCCGCAGGAGCATCCAGTTCGGAGCCCCACTGTAATTCCGTCCTCTGATGTGCTGTAGGGCCTAATCAACAGTTTTCATGGGCCCTGCAGCCAGGGTCTAGGGCTACTTAATCACTAACCTTGCATTAGTCTTTATTTTAAGAGACCACAGGTTTTAAAGACATCCTTCCTCCTTGTGTTTGTAATCATGAAAAACTCCTTAATCTAGGTAATTTATTTAATGAGTAGCTCCAAATATTTGTTCCCAACTACCAGCGGTTTAATACAAAAATCACAGGCTAGCTTAATTGCACTTAACCAAGAAAGGCCGGTGAATGGCTTTCTCTCATTATTTCTCACTGAAGCATACACCCTTGCCACAGCTCTCTTTTTGTTAATAAAAGCAAGGAGAAAGTGTGAAAAATCTTCATGCTCCTTGATGTTTTAAAATCCTTATCTATTTCTAAAATCCAACCCATAGGATAAGGAAAAATTACTACATAAAGTAGAATTATTTCAGAGAAAGGCTTTCCCACAGAAACTTCTCAACTGGTAGGCTAAAATGGTATGAGGTATTTAAGGATGTATCTGGTAAATTGCTACCACAATTAATACAGATTATATGCACAATAGTCCTTAACAAATGCTTGTTGTAGGAATAACTTTCATTTTCAAGTTACTTTAGAGTTTGCAAGGCATCTTACCTTTTTTTTTTAAATTTAATCTCATTGATTTATATCTTTGCAACAATTCTGGTAGGTAGATGTTATTATTTCCATTTTAGAGACATTGAAACCAAGGCTCAGAGAGATTAAGAAACACTTACCCAGAGTTATAGATTTAATGATAGAAGTGGGATTCAAATCCTGGTCCTGTGACTACAATTCTATGTCCTTCCACTACTTCTTGCTGAATCCTTCTTTTAAAAAGGCATTCCAGTGGGCCTTATACTCAGATTGCTATGTGTAAACGGAGCCGCTAGTGCCCTTCTGGGTACACACGTACTTACAGCCTGTTTCATGGAAACCACTCCACATGCAAGTCCTGCCTTACTACCTGGAGTAATTGGTACACACTGGATAAATCACCGTAGGTGAAATAATCTTCCACCATTTCCATCTCTCTCAAATTCTACTATTGTAAGTTTGTTTCTTTTAGACTAGGGAGATGTTCCGGCCTTAAAGGATCCCCACTGAGATGCAAACATGGGGTTTCTTCCAGCTTTGGGTGGTGTCTGTTGCCAGGCTTCAGCTTTCAATCTGCTAAGGGCAAGGTGGTGTGGACACAGGCCCTGGCACCCTGAACCCACCACTTCTTGTCTATATGCCAAGCCACAGTCTTGAGCCACCCGTGGTGGCCCAGATGCAGGCCATCAGGTGTGTGGTGGTGGAAGATGCAGCTGCAGGTAAAACTTGCCTACTGTTCAGTTACCTGCCAATGCACTTCCTGGAGAATATATCCTCATTGCCTTTGACAACTATTCTGGTAATGGTATGGTAGATGGAAAACCGGTGAATCTGGGTTTATGGGACAAGAAACTGGACAAGAAGAGTATGACAGATTACACCCCATCCTATCTGCAGAAAGATGTATCTTTAATTTGCTTTTCCCTTGTGATCCTGCATCATTTCGCATATATCTGTGCAAAGTGGTCATCTGAAATATGACACCATTTTCCCAACACTCTCATCATCCAATGGAAGCTAAATGTGGTCTTAGGACTGATAAAGACCTGGTTGGGAAACTGAAGGACAAGAAGTTGACTCCCATCTCATAGCCAAAGGCTTTAGGTAAAGCTAAGGAGGTCAGTGCCATAAAATAATGTACCTAGAACGCTCAGCTTTCACACAGAAGGGCCTCAAGATGGTTTGAAGGAGCAATTAGAACAGTTCTCTGCCCACTACCTGTCAAGAAGAGGAAGGGAAAGTGCTTGCTGTTTAAGGGAGGGCAAAATAAATAAAATTGACAGTCCTGTAGTAAATTCATTAAAGAAAAATAAAAGATACTAAGACAGATGAGAAGAAGAGTGAGACAAGGATATAACAGACACAGAAGAAGTCATTTACAACACAATTCTATGAAGTCTTGATGAAAAGCCTGTTTTTCAAGAAAATACAAATTGTCAAAATTCCCTTGGAAAGAAGCAGAAAACCCAAACAGACAAATAACCAGAGAAGAAACAAGGGAGAGAAAAAAAGGTTGTCAACAAGTTATCTCCAAGAAGAGAACCAGACCCATAAAGTGTTCCCACCAGCTGTGCACGTACAGTCAAGAAATAGATAATTCCTAAGTTTATATCAAATATTCCACGGCAAAAAAAAAAAAAAATCTTTCCAAATCATTTTACAGAGCTAGCCTAATTTTGATCACAAAATAAATAACACAAAAAGAAAAAATTACAGACTTACCTCTTGAAAAAGTGATAGTTAAAGAGCTTGACTTCTGCATGTCCACACCATGCCACCCCTTTCTCCCCTGCTGCACTATTTGCTCAAGGGCAGGGAGAGCCCCTCCCTTTGCCCCCTGGGTTGTAGAATCAGCAGGTTAGCAAGAGAACCCAGATTCTCAACCTCATTTTCTAGTTCTTAGCACCTCTCACACAAAACAGCATAAGATAGTGACCTGTTTGTCAATATTCATACTGCAATATTTTAAATAAGTGCAGCTTACTGAGACCTCAGAGAATTCTTTCAAGATAAGCTCAGGCGAAAGGGGACACTTGCCAAGAAGCAATGCTTAATTTGTGACTGAGGGATACCGTAATTACCCCTGGCACACCACACAGGTTAGAGAAACTGCTGCTTTCCCCCACAATAAAGACCTTTCTGAGTGCTTTGGGAACCATCTCTCCTTTTATCTTTGGGATCAGGAAAAAATCTCCCCAAAATTACATTTTCTTGCTTTCAGCAAATGTTATACTTTCTAAGAGTTGGGCAGTCTTTTTATTCTTAAAACAATTGAACAAGGCCAGCCCCGTGGCTCAGCGGTTAAGTGCACGTGCTCCGCTGCTGGCGGCCCAGGTTCGGATCCCAGGCACGCACCGTTGCACCACTTGTCTGGCCATGCTGAGGCGGCGTCCCACATACAGCAACTAGAAGGATGTGCAACTATGACATACAACTATCTACTGGGGCTTTGGGGGAAAAAAA